AACCCTAACCTAATGCGGGCTAACTTGTCGGGATTTTGACATTGTCGAGAAAGTGGTTGTCGGGAAAATGATAGGATTCCATTTAAAACATTGAAGGATATCAAACAGCCCATAATGAGGGTTCTGAATATCCAAGAGAAAAGTCCTCATTTTTTGAAATGATTTTTTAATTTCTTCATATCCGTCAATTTCTGTAGTCTTTGACCTGATTAAAGACTATATATTAAAAAAAATTAGTACAACTTTTAAAGCTTTAAAAATTTATACTATAAAAAAATTCTTACCCAAACTGTCTAAATCCAATTCCCAAAATTAATTTCTAGGTCAGTAAGTCTTTATAATTCAGCAATTTTATCAATTGCTTAAGATTTTGAACTCTTGACTTGTTAATTTCCGACTTTTTAGATTTTTCATCAAAATTGTAATGTTCACTGCTAATTTTTAATGGGTAATATAGGCCTTTTTGATATTGCTCCGCGAGCTGTTTATGTAACGGCAAAACACAAGATATCTCATTCATGATTCAAATACTTTAAGGGATATATATATATGTATAGAAAGCTTACATTGTACTTATATTGGAATAACGCATTGTGCAATGGGTTTGTCTAAAATGGCAACAACCTGAGGAATCCAACGAATAAATTTCCAGGGCCAAACGATGATACCTATGAAAAAAGATAATGCAATTGAATTACTTGCCCAAGAATCCATTTTTCTTCAGTAACAAAATAAATACCCATTTGCTTAAAAATCGATTGTGTATTATCATAGATACAAATTATCTGAAGCAATCTTGGAAATAATTCGGATGCTTCCTTTGAACAATCTTCAGTTGCTTTTAAAACATATTTAACGACTGTAGATGCGTACAATCTACTATCAAAAGAAACCTACACGAATCAAATATGTTAAACCGAATTTATAATACAAAAAAAGAATATGCATAATAGATTTATTTACCTTTCTTTGGTCCCATCGGTCGATCCCAAATTTCGCAAGTAATAATCGCAGAACTTTGCAAATTTGACAAATATTTTAGCTCGGTTCACTGGTTAAAAAAAAATCAATAATAGTAAGATAATAAATATAAACTTAACATTTAATAACTCGGGATTTTCTCATACTTTCAGATGTGAAATAGCTTCCTCGGCAGCATCTTTTAAAAGATTATAACCTTAACGATAAAATGTGCTTTACGATGTTGAATAGAACGTGCTAAATCCCAATTGTCGTTATTATCAAGTATGGCTGCTTACGTTGCATACGTTTCGCTTTCTATCACGCGATTTTTCATATTAGTTTCTACATCCATAATCTAAAGATTTTGTTAATAAACATTAAAATACCAACCATTTAATAATTATTATAAGTGGAAAGTTTTTATTCAATACCTCTACTTTCTTAAATTCATCAGTCATCGCCACCAAGATACTTAATTTTTTTTCAATGTTAACGGTCAAAGCTTCGTGAAGATTAAGTTTCAATTGATAATAAGCCATTTCATTATTATCATAAAGCTTAGATTGCCTTGTTTTGTTGAGACAGACCCGGGCAACTTCAAAATTACCTTGAACTCTTGCTGTAGAAGCCATTTTAAGTAAACCATCACGTTCCGGTGAATTTTTAATCTCAACGAGCTATATAAATGATAATTTAAATAAAAGTAATTTTCTACAGAACAAATACATGCGAGCGTCATATCTTCTTGTAGTGATTTCATCATAGCACCAAGTAGCGAGTGACGACTTGTTATTATATCATCCCAACTATTGCTAGGATCAAGCCGCTTTGATGGATACCTGTTCAAAGTAAATATTGTTAAAAATAACTATTAAGTTGAAAATTACCTAAAATCGATAAATGAAATTATCGATAAATGAAATTACCTGTTTTTCCAGTGACTAATCAGTTTTTCCCATTTTTCTGATTCCTCAGATGACTGGGACAAATTCAAATATTCTCCAATTTCAACAATCTAACGTTAAGTAGAATTGGTTATTTTTAAATGTAATTTTTAAAAATCATGTAGAAATAGTTGCTACCTGTTGCAGAGGAATCAGTTTACTCAATCTCGTGCTAGATGCTAAAGGATGCAAAGTAGACTGCATAAACAAGAAATTATCATACGCTTTCCTAATATAAAAAAGCGATTGTTCTGTATCATTACGTGTTATTAATGTTAACGCGAGTTTTAAATGACAATAAGAAATTAATAATAAGAATTGGATAATAAACACAACAATTAAGAGAATGTTGACTTTTACCAATCAGGTATTGAGCAGTTAAGAAAGATTTGCGATCCGGATCAGACAAAGAGCGATCAATGAAATTAAAAAAGATGCCACAATAACTTTTATCATTTTGTCCATACGTTAACTTAACAAACTGTGCATGAAATATTGAAGATATGGATGCTATAAAATTATATAATAAATTAGTTATTGAACAAATTAAGTATATTTAGTGGATTGCTTAAAATTTTAGATACCTGAAAGTCTTGATCCCAAAGCTTATCTAAATCTGAATCAATATCCACGTACACAGTTTCGGCCAAGTCGTCCCATTTTGATAATTTTTCGAAACATTCATATCTTCCTTCTTCCCAAATTGTGACCTATAAAAAAGAGAGCATAGCAAGCATGAGAAATCATCAATGAGTTGGATTGAAGATTTTAAAGATACAAACCTCAGCATCATCAGCATCTTCTACATCACTTAATGCTTGCAAATAAAACTTACACGCTGAGCGTAATCGCCTATTAACTCAGCGTTAAGAGCATCTATTCGAAAATAATAAACATGTATAAGAAAAATATAATATACGATAAAAATAACAAGTATACATACTCTTGGTATATTGGTTGTGAGCAATGTAGTTTTCATATATGCTCTTATATACATCACTACTATCGATTGATTTATAAAGATGTGCTAACTC